CGGCTTATACCGCTCCCACTTCACTACGATGTGGAACAGTGTGCGTGTCGTCTGGAGATCCTTCACGGTTGTGGAGTTCTTCTCCAGATGGACCAGGTAGAGCTGGTCACGATACTTTGGATTTCGACCGGCTTGAGGCCGTTCGCCTTAATCTCGTCCATTAAGGTGGTGGTGTCCATGTCGTGGAGCCCACGCAGCAGCACTTTCAGCGGCTTGGTGGCCTCGACGTCGTGGGAGAAGTACTCCAACTTCATCCTGTCCAAGAGGGCCTGGACTGCTTTGTAGTGTTTTTCGGCCGGGACCATCAGTTTGTAGCCTTCCGTGCACCGTTGAATGGTGCAACGAAGGCCCTGCTTAATGTAGAAGTCCAGCTGCTTCCATAGCCCGGGAGGGAAGCCCTTCACATAGAAGGGTGGCAACTTCACTTTTTTCGGCACCGTCTCAGGGTCCGACTGCGGCTGGGCTCCGTTCTGCAGGGCGGAGAACTGATTGTTGCTCAGCAGCTTTTTTGCTGCCGATGCGGTGGCGCTGCTGTCTTCAGGTCTGGGTCGTTTAGTTCCGGGAGGTCCCGGCTGCGGGTCCGCAACGCCCGTCGGGACGGGCAATGGGGTTTTCTTCTGCTTCTTCTGGGCTGGCTCGGTGGTCGCGCCGTCTCCTGGGAGAGGCTGTTTTCCCGGCAAACCGGCACTCGCGTTACCGCGCGATTTCTTACCCATGGCTGGGTCAGCGAGAGCGTCACTACACAACGCGGAGCTAATTTGATTTGCGAACGAACGAACGAAACGAGAGAGAATACAAATCGACTGAACTGCTCAACAGTCTGGCAGCGAATGATGTCCGTCCATGAGCAGAGGGACGACAGCAGTGCTCTTATATAGTTTTACAGGTTCAAGCAAAACGATGCGCAACCAAATGATACTCGATTATGACGACTTGGTTTGGGGAGCACGTTTGTATCATTGAAACAGTGATAAAATTATCACTTTTAATTTGTACATTTTTTAACGGTTTTTTTTTTAGAAAATTAGAAAAGCATTTATTGTAACAGGTCGTATATAAATGACAAAGTTACATGCGTTAAAAATCTTACACCTTTTCGTGACGGTCGCAATTTTAGATATCCGATCTCCCAGTATCTTCCCGTAAGACGTAGTCTACGTCAAAACGGTTTTAAGGGGGTACTACCGTTTGTACTCCATTTTCACCCTATAACTTTGTCCACTGGAGAGATGGAAAATGTACGTGTTCGACAAAGTATCTGAAAATGACTTCATCTACAATGTTTCGATAGACGATCGTCAATTTTAACAAGAAATTTTTTTTTACACACCTTAGTGTACACACTTAGAATATTTGACCGAAATCTGTGAAATTTCACCGAAATCTCTACAGCTGAACGTTCGGTAAACCGTTCGGTGATTTTTCACAGATTTCCTGTAATTGTTCACAGATATTCGGTGAAAAGTTACAGGAAATCTGTGAAAAATCACCGAACTGTTTACCGAACGTTTAGCTGTTGAGATTTCGGTAAAATTTCACAGATTTCGGTGAAATAATCTTAATGTGTACACACCTCTTAAGCAAAACATTTCACCACTGCAATAAAGTCTTTCAAAATTGAAAAAATATTCTAGCAGACATCAAAATGCTACACTAAATAGTTTAGTTGCAAATTGCTATTTTCGATGCGGGAAGTAACACATTGTTCATCTCTGGGATAAATTAGGGCAACATACGGATCAGTTTCTCATCTTTTTTTCTGAAAATGAAATACTTTTTGAATATATTGCTATTTTCCGATTTTCTTATAAAACTTACTTACAATCCTATAATAGTGAACTTTCCTTAGGATTGAACTTGGGAATCTGAAGATCGCAACCAGAAGTTCAGAAAACGTCACCTGTGTAAATTTTGACTTATATCAAGCTTATCTCAGAAGAAAAACACCAATTGCTACTTACGCCAGTTACTAGTCCGTCCAGTTTTACTGATAGTAGAATCTTTCATCCTTCCAACACTTTGTGGGAATTTATCGGGAATTGACTTTCAACTCCGGGCTCAGACGTTTATTACATTTGATCTAACTCAAAACAGCAAAGTTCTATATTTATTTAATTAGAGTAAAGGTTACTCACTTTGCTAAATTGATGTTACTCAGTTTTTGACATTTAGCGCACAAATACGAAATTGAGTAAAAGTTACTCACTTTAGAGTAAAATCAGACGAGCGTGTGCACGGCAAAGCTGACAGCGGTGATGGGGACTTTGCTGTTTCGAGGGTTGGCAGCACGTGTTCCAATGCAGCAGCTGGCACGCAGTAAAGAGCATGGAGGACTAAAACTGCAACTGCCAGCGATTAAGTGTAAAGCGCTTCTCGTCAATCGCCATCTTCAAGAAATCGAATCCCTTCCCTATTATCAGTCCTTTCTCGTCCAACATATTCCTCGCCCCGCCGATCTTCCCTGCCTAAAGCACCTCTCTCAGCCATTTTTCTCCCAGATGACCAAGCTGCCTGATTTCCTGCGACCCATTCAAGGACACCCGGCCACCCACCGCTCCTGCTCTAAACTATATTTAGGGTTAATCTAATTTAATAAATGGCTGCCGATTGCTGTCCGTTAAGTCCGCAGAACTCTCCCAAAACGAACGGAAGCCATTCATTACCGGATTTGCTAAAAAAAAAAAAGAGTTCATCGACACAGCTTGACTGCTCCGTTTCTTCGTCGCTCGACACGCCACAACTTTGTCGCAGTTAGTTTTGCGAAGCACTTTATTTTCCAGTTTTATTTTCGGCCATAATACCTGCCAAAGTAGGTGGAAATGATCTAAATTTGTTGTTTTTATTCAATTCGGATGGAGGAGAAAAAAAAACCCGTGGGAGTTTCCCGCTCATTGTATTCATTCAGCGGGCGTTCCGTCATTCGTTGACTACTAAGTTCAAAGGCATATACCTATCATATAGAGCCATCGAGGAGAACTGTTGCAGCACGATTTGTTAGTCTAATTGAACCAACGTCCAACAAGCGATTGAGATCAGGCAAATTCTTCCCGTCGTCTCTTAAGGATGGGAGTGTACGTCGCTCCAGCAATCAAGAACATAAGCAAATGATTTATTATTTGGAAGCAGAAAACAAAAAAAAAAAAACGCTGGCAACCAGAATGCCGAAACAATTGAATGCCTTAATAAGAAAACATTGTTGCTCATTGCTATCGTTGTCTTGCGATCTTTGTGTTTTTTTTTTTCCTATCGAAGAAAAACAGAAATAATTGAGCGATAATTGCCAAGTTCCGTGTGGTCTTGTTCATAATTCTCCTTTTACTTGGAAGCACCCTTGCAGTTCGCAAGCAATGTGCTCCATAATTCAATTCATCTGCCGATGCCTGCTTCCTTTCTGGTGGTGGAAAACTTCTTTCCGAGACAACGGCCGGCGGTGGGTGGCGCAAAACGGTTGTTGATGAATGAATGAGCTTAAGGAGCTTGGCCTACGACTTTCTTGTGGATTTTGCATCTAAAGGGTGATACGGTCAAAATTTGGTCAATATCAACTTGACGTATTTCTTTCAATTTTGCATTTAAAAAACCTGAACACCCCTCATTTTGAAGGTGTGTGTGTGTAGAATGTTGCTCCTATTTTGATTTTGGAATTCACTCTTCAGTTGTCAAAATGCCGTCCAAGCAAGAAGAGCAGCGTATCAAAATTTTGCTCGCGCATCGCGAAAATCCGAGCTACTCGCACGCAAAGTTGGCAAAATCGCTAAAAGTTGCCAAATCAACCGTTACAAATGTAATTAAAGTGTTTGGGGAACGTTTGTCGACAGCCAGGAAGTCTGGATCGGGGGGAAATCGAAAACCGGAAGCCGCTGAGACGACAAAGAGAGTTGCCGGTAGTTTCAAGCGAAACCCTAACCTCTCTCTCCGAGATGCCGCAAATAAGCTGGGTGTATCGTCTACAACCGTGCATCGAGCCAAAAAACGAGCCGGACTATCGACTTACAAGAAGGTAGTGACTCCAAATCGCGATGATAAACAAAATACGACGGCCAAAGCGTGATCCCGGAGGCTGTACACGACGATGCTGACGAAGTTTGACTGCGTGGTAATGGACGACGAAACCTACGTCAAAGCCGACTACAAGCAGCTTCCGGGACAGGAGTTTTATACGGCAAAAGGAAGGGGAAAGGTAGCAGATGTTTTCAAGCACATGAAACTGTCAAAGTTCGCAAAGAAATATCTGGTTTGGCAAGCCATCTGTACCTGTGGCTTGAAAAGCAGCATTTTCATAGCTTCCGGGACTGTCAACCAAGAAATTTACGTGAAAGAGTGTTTGAATAAACGTCTGCTGCCTTTCCTGAAGAAACACGGTTGTTCCGTACTGTTTTGGCCGGATTTGGCATCTTGCCATTACGGTAAAAAGGCCATGGAGTGGTACGCCGCCAACAACGTGCAGGTGGTTCCCAAGGACAAGAACCCTCCCAACACCCCAGACCTCCGCCCAATTGAGAAATACTGGGCTATTGTCAAGCGGAACCTAAAGAAGACCAAAAAAACTGCTAAGGGCGAGCAGCAGTTCAAGGCAAACTGGCTTTCTGCGGCGAAGAAGGTGGACAAGGTGGCTGTACAAAATCTGATGGCAGAGGTCAAGCGTAAGGCCCGGCAATTCGGATTTGGAAAAGCGGAAGCCTAACTGAATATTTTTCCTGAATTTTATACTAATTGAACTTGAAAAAGAAATTTAATTTGATTTTTTAAATAAACGATTTCGCCGATTTACACGCGTTTTCCCTTGACCAAATTTTGACCGTATCACCCTTTACTCATTTGCTAGCACTACCGGTGGATTAAAGAGGCGTTCAATAATGAATAAGCCAAAGTCGATTGAGGCTTAATTTTGGACGGGTGCTGAATTAGTACTCATACAAGGTTTATTGGACGTTGAAGGTGAAACAATTTTGGTTGGAATTGAACCTTGAAAATGAAAACAAACATCGAGAAAAACTCACCGCTTCGATCTCCTTCTCGAACTTGACCGGCCGCAGCTTGCACAGCAGCGCCCCCACGTAGATCGCATTGATGATCAGGAACAAGCTGGCCCAGATGACGGCATCCATCGTGCACTCGACCTGCCAGCCCCAGATGATGAGCAGCACGCTCCCGGCAATGACCATACACCGCAGCCACAGCATCCCGAAGGGGGCATTCGGGGCCAGGAAGGCCAAGAAGAACAGCCCACTGCCGATCTGGTAGTACAGATGGTGGGTTCTCCGCAGCGAGAAGCAATCCATCAGTGTCCACTCACCGCCGCCGCTCAAGCCGAAGAAGCTGCTGAAACCACCTCCACCACCACCACCACCACCACCGTGCGAACCGCCTGACGATCCTCCGTTACCTCCGCCTCCCGTTCCTGGGATGAAAGAACGGAAAGTATCGTTACTTCTACCGCCGGGAATCAGGGGGGATCGATGGGGGACATCGCTAGGGGCACTATCACTACCACTAGAGGATGATGAGTGCGGGGACTGTTGACTATTGTGATGGTGAAGGTGACGATTGCTACTGCTGGCACTTCCTCCGTTCCAGACGTCCTTCTGGACGATGTACTGCGACGAGGGGGCGATCGGCGAATCCTCGATGATCAGCCCCTCGGGACTACCGAGCCCGGAAGATTGCGATTGCTGCTTTTGTTGCTGCTGCTGCTGCTGGGGATGGTGGACCATGCTGAGGGGGCTGGTGGTTTCCACTAGCCCGAGGACCAGGGTCCACCCCAGCAGGAACATGATTCGCTGTAGAAGCTCCAGTTTGAAGCCTTTGCCGGCGGTGGATGACTAGAGTTGATGCGGCGGTAGCGTTTACGTTTGCGCTTCGGAAGCATTCACAGCAGCCGTGAATGTGGCGACAGATGGATGGTCACACTTCTGCGGAGATGCTTCTCGGGGGGAGCATTTTCAAGGGGCATGCCAATGGAGGTTTTTGGATTGATTTTCTTCTTCTTATTTATTTGAATCTTCTTCGGTTTTCCCGTGGGATATCACATTTTGGAAGAGAGAGAGAGAGAAAGACGGTGAAATTTCGCACACGGCACTGCGGATTTCAATCACAAATCGAACACAAATTTCACTTGCTGTTGACTTTATTCCCGGGATTTAGCAACACTGATGACCAATTTCTGTGGGATCGCAGGGAGAGGGCACCTGTGGATGAAACGAAAAAAAGCAAGGAGTTATTAAAAAGCTGATGACTATTGAGTTATATTGATTGTAGAATTAGACTGATTTGAGATTTGAGCGTAACTGTGACAATGACTAACTAACAACACAATCTCTAGCAAAGTAGTTTTCAACCGGTAAGAAACTTGGTTCTGTCGCCATGGTGCCTAAGCACAAAAGAAAAGGGCAATCGCTGGTCCCCTTTCTGATTAAATGTATTTGAGCAATCAATTGTTTTGCTCACGTATGATGAGAATGATCCATCATCCAGGCAAAATTCTAATAAACTTCCCCGGCTTAATGCCAAGAAGGAAAAAGTCCCCCCTATTGTGATAACCACTTCCGATTTCTATGCTCTTCGCACGGAACATTTTTGAACTTCATTAAATTCAAGTTATCACTTCAAATTGGCCGTCGGGGTGAATGCCGTGTATTGGCTGAAACCTTGGACGGTTTCAAACGTCTGCTCAAGTATGTTACTGAGAAGCAACACACATTTATTACTTACCACTCCAAAACTGAACGTCTGTTCAAGGTTGAAATGACTGCCCAGTGGTGAATCCCTGGATCAGATCGAAAATGAATTGACAAAATTACTTGCAGTTGAGCCAGCCCAAGTAATCAAAATGAAAATGAAATCCGTCCTGGCGATTCGCGCAACGGGATTTGTAATGATTTGTATTCAGTTCACTTCAAGTCTAGTGAACTAAACAACCTTAAGGCCTTAGAAAAATTTGTCCTGTGAAGGAAGATTCTAATAAATTGAAATGTTCAAATTGTGGTGAAAATCACAAATCCAGTTTTTGGGAATGCAAGACTCGCAAAGTCATATTTCGTACTAAGCATCGGGCAGGTAACGCTCCACGTCATTTTTAGGTACATATATGATGTTAGGGAAAGTTTCTTCATATTTTATTATGGCGACAAACTTTTTTACTATTTGAGATAGACCATTGCAATGTTCTAAAAAGTTGTAGAACAATCAATTTGAAGCAACTTTGCTGAAGACCGAGCTGAAGACATCAAATTTCTTCCTCTTATGGTTCATGAATTATGTTTTTTTTTTAAAGTAGGTTAGGGTGACCCCTAAAAAACTAGTTTTCTTTGAATATCTTGTCATACGATCATTTCTTGTTAAAACGTTGTTCTGGATACATTTAGAACTTAAGATGACACATATTTTTGCTGAAGCAACTGAAAATCTCGGTATAGTCAAACTACCAAAAAATGAACTTTACCGAGATTTCAGATTTACCAATTGAATTAATGAGTATGCGCATGATTGACCGCCCGAGGATGCAACTCCGTTATTGCACACAGAGAACCAATAGACGTTGCTTGGGACTAGCGTACATCCTCAATGTGTAGGAAATGATGATCTCATACTTAACAATAGGCAATATCAGGCGCCGGCCACGGCTGAATGCAGGCTAAGACAGGAATGGGTAGGAATGTGTTGACGTGACACTCACTTAATTGGAAACTGAGAACACCCCTGCACTTTCACGAGGAATCACTGGGATATTGGCTAAAAGGGATGGGTATGCAGCAGCATTCGTTTTGGTAAACGATAAGCTGAATTGATGTCCTAACGATCCTCAGTAAGCAAAAACGTTTGCCACTAGGCAAAGGAGCTCCTCAAATTAAAACACATCAATTGTGATCGAGTTGTTGTTATTACCATGTATTCATAATAATAAATAAAAGCGATTAACGAATCTTGAAGGTGAAGGGGCTGGAGATTAAACTCATGATGTTCTGTTCAGTAAACAAAAACGATCGCTCTAAGGCCAACGAACCCCTCATATCACACCACCGAGTTTCGATAAATTTTGCAAAACCCACGGGATGAGTTCTTAAGGGGGTTAGATTTTAATTAGTCTTTAGTGGGAATGACACTGATAGAGCCTGCACATTTTAGCCGAAATACGTACCTGTCATAGATACCTAAATTAATTAAGTGGAATTGGAAGATAACCTTTTTTGCTGTTTTATTTAATCATTCCGCCAACACCGCAATTTCGTTACTTCAAATTGTAGTAGCTTTTTGACGTAGGACTACGCCTGTGATTTCTACATGGGGGTACACTTTGTGAAAACCAAAAATGGTACATGTAACACAATTATGAAAGATTTTAAACGTTAATAACTCAGCTGCCCCTGGATCAATTTCAATAAATTTATCACCAATCGATCAGAAATATTTCCACGCATCTGATTAATTTAAGACTTTATCATTTTTCATAATGTCACTATTGAAAATTGCACGAATGTGCAACTGTTGCTATGATAGTTAAAATTATCACCGCTTGCCTGCGAAAAACAATTTCCCTAGCGCAGATTTCGAAGTTGAATTCCGTCCGGTCTCATCAAACTGTGTCTATTCAATCACTGCATGGTGAGTGGTGGTGTTCTCCAGTACACAACGAAAGGCTGCCTGCAAACAGCGAGCTGCAGCCCACATGAGCATCCATAGAAGAAGGAAGAAGCCGCACCGCTATTGATCGGAATCAGTAGCTCTTCGTGAGTCGCTGTGGGCTATCTATGCCAAGCGTGTCATACTAAAGAGTATACACAGAGAGAACCCCGCTCAAATTCCTATTCCTACGCAAAACACAAGCTGCTGCTGCAGTTAACAAATAAGATTTATTATATAAGATCACGTAGGCCTACGTCACCGTTGCGTACAACCCCATAAGGCTTTCCCCTTTTAGTTTTTTTTTTTTTTTTCAATGATAGATACTTTTTCGAAGTTTGAAATTTGAAATATTCTTATATCTCTCAGAATTCTGATTACATACGAATTTTCGAATTAAGTTGCTTGTAAGATTTTCAAAGGGCACTTGACCGAATTCAAAGATTGAGCTTAGAAATTCTATGGGAAAGCAATGAGATCTACGGTATGAAGTTTGAATCCTTGGAATAAGAATTTTCTTTAAGAGAAGAAGAGAAAATTTGGGGCTAAGCGAGATTTCTGACTTCCATGACTTATTTCAAAGATCTCAGAACGTCCAAAAAGTAAGGCTTTTTCGTTAATTTTTTAAGCAATAAAACACTCAGGGAGGTAAAATATGTTATAACCCATTTATTAGTCATCCTTCGACATACAATTTGTATTTTTTTGAACTCGATTGGCATCTCCCCGTGGCCGGTGCACCAGGTCGCGCGGGCGTCCTCGCGCGGAAGTCGGAAAACGGCGTGGGAAAATACTCCTTTCCATGTGATCCTGGAACATAAATCGAACAAAAATCCTGATTAGTAATGAAATTTGGGTTAGAAATACGTATTCCGATTTTTTTTAATTAATTTTTTCAAAAGTTGTGGCCTTAGGAAAAAAAAGTCCATTTTTCTCACCCTAAAAATGCTTACAAAATCGTGGATTAAAATCCATTTTTGACAAAATCGAAAATGTGGATACGTATTTCTAAGCAGAATTTAATTCTGAACAAGAAAACCTAGGCGATATCCAAATTTGATGATAACTGGTTAGAGTTATTTCCCACGCCAGTTTGAAAAACCCCGTTTCGAGATAAACGCGTTTAAATGCTCAAATGCTCTCTCAGCGCGCCGGTACATGTTTTAGGAAATCGCTTCGTAAAGCGGTAAGGAATATTCTGGCGGACTTGGAGTCTTTTCTAGTTTTAAAGTATACCGTTCCGATTCAAATTTCGGACGATTCAAATTTCGGACACTTTCATTTTTAATTAAATATTACATCCAGTTAGAAACAAAGTAATAATGTTAGATGATCGTGGAGGGCACTAGTCAAAAAAATTTAAAATTTACAAGACATGTGGATCATATTCGACCGAGATAATCAACTTTTAAAAGTGTCCGAAATTCGAGTTTAGGTGTCCGAAATTTGAATCGGCACGGTATCCCAAAGAACATTTTAAACCAAAAAAAAATGCATTTTTTTTTTAAAATCAAAGTGCACTCCTTAAAAAAAAACAATCATAGCTCTTGGACTTCAAGCATTGAATTATGATAAGGATGCCAAACAAATTCAGGTGAATTGTAGATGAATGCTAGGATTGTAGTCATTTTGGGTAGAGTAAGCAATAAAATTTAACTAGATATTTCTGGTATGTTTTCGATGTATTTCAAGAAAATTTTAGGGCCAACTAGATATGAATTCCTAGTTTACAAAAAAAACATCTTTAGTGTTGATAAATCAATAAATAAGAGAAATTCTGAGAAGAGCTGCTAGGAAATATAGATAATAGTTCCAAGGGACTCTAATTCTTAATATAGCTCAAACAATTCTTTGCAGAATTCCATGCTAGTTTGAAGATAGTTTCAATAGAATTCCTATGAAAAGTCACAATAAATTTAAGAGAATTTCAAGGAGTTTTAAGTATATTTACAAAGAAACTCTTAGTAGTCTTTCAGGATATTCGGATGAAATTTCCAAGGGAATCCAAAGGAGAGCGTTAATAGAATTCCAAGAAAACTTCTAGGGCATCGTAAGAAGAATTTGAAGGAAAATCTGAGAATTAATCTCATCTGATATCCAAGGACGTATTAATATAATACTTTTCTAAATTCAAAATGGAATACCGAAAGATTTTTCAGGAATATTCTAAGTGAATTGATAGGAATACATTGGATAGAAAATAAAGCATTTTAATTATTAAGAATATGAAGACAAATGTAGATTCAATTTCAATAGTTTTCTAATACTAATATGGATAAATTTTCTAGTGAATACCGGACACAATTAAACGATTAGGTTTAACGTTAAGGTTAATCTTGAAAATAAAAGTAATTCTGACCGCATTTCCTAATGAATTCCTTGATAAAACTGCAAATACATAATAAGATGAGTTTCAAAGAAATAATTTAGTAATTTCAAACAGCATTCTTCGTTTTTCAATCGTGACAAAGAATATGAGAGGAAATGGATGTAATGTTGGCCTAAATGCCCCTAATTTGGGCCCATACATAAATTCAGCAATCGACTAAATTTTCAATAGCGACCAAAA